AACTAGAAGGTCAAGAGACTTACCTGGGGTCCTCTAGACTTACAAATTAGCTAGCTGTCCCTCAGCGAGTTTCGAGTCCCTAGAATCTCACTTACAACACAAGATGGTCAAATTACACAAGAAATATTCACAATTCACAATATTGACAATCAAACCAAAATTAACCCTAGCACTTCGATTGCTAAACCGTTTGCAATCCCCGGCAACGGTGCCAAAAATTGATCGGTTGTCAATTATACATCAACCTTCGCAATAGCACGAATCATTGTAAAATAGGGTTATTGGTCGGGTAAGTCGAACCACTGGGACTGCACTAATCTATCGCAACCTAAGTGTCTAGAGTCTTTTTAGAATGATACAGGTGTTCATAGAGGATTTGTTGGTTGTCTTAAGCTTATGAAATTAAGATGCATAAAATAAAAGCTTGCAAGAATTTAAATGAGATGAAATACAAGTAAAGAGGACTAGGGAAGTGAATCCGCCTCTATCCCTATACACATGCCAGATTAGAGCTAAATTGGGGAAAAACAATATATGATGGTCAAGAAATATATACCAACACATCGTTGCCATATAATCAACAAGATGTACATTAAATCTCAAGCATGCATGATCCATCAAAGGTGAACATGTTTAGACTACCTAACTAAGGTGTAGCTTAACCACATTTACTTGAATGAAAGATTATCAAGCCCTAGATAAAATGATGAAGCACATGAAGGTAAGAAATAAGCATAAACCATCAAATGCATCACCTAAGCAATGATCTATCAAAGTTCTCCAATTTCATGCCATTAAAACCATTCCATGATCCAACTTCCATTGTCACTATGAAAGTGCTAGCAATATGATTAGGAAAAGTAACCATCTAAGACAAGATGAATAACTCAAAATAACCATTTATAAACATTTAAAATCCATTACAACAAATAGAGGGCTCTAGATCATGGAAAGACCAAAAATATACATTTTGTCCCAAAATATAACCTAAATTAGAACATGCTTACAAGGGAAGGGCCTCATCACCTCCCTAAATGGAGATTTAGTTACCCATGGGAGCCTTAGAAGAAGGAAGAAGCTTTCCCTCCACCTCCATTTTTGAGCTCCAAGCTTCAAGACCCACCAAGTCCTTCAAAACTCAATTTTTTCTCCCTCTCGAAATCTTGCAAAGGTGAAATATCAAATAAATAATCAAACCCCTTTCTTATCCTCCAAAACCTACTCCCCAAACTCCAAAATCCCGAGATGTCCCCTCTGGCTCAATCTCCACCACATAAAAAGAAAAGATAACACAAATGCTGAAAAAAAAGGGGCAGGTGAACTGCCTGCAGAGGGCCGGCGGGAGCCCGCAAGGCGCCGGCAGGCTCCCACGGAAGCTGCGGCTCGCGAGGATGGCTCTGGAGTGTTTGGCGGGCGCCCGCGAGAGGGCGCGGGGGCTCCTACGGCTACTATGCAAGGTGCCGCGAAACAAGGCAGTGAGATGAGCCATTGGCAAGCGCATCGCGGGAGCTCCACGGGCGCCAACAGAGGCCTGCTGTCTTCTCTTTGGCCACTTTGGATTGGCCCGACGACACCATCGTCGTACTGGAATCAATACCACAACATTTGTGCACATGATGGTTCACGAACTTGGCCTAGATAACGGTCCCTAGCAACGGCGCTCTTCAATTCTTTAAAAACATGTCAAAACCGCTTTCTTTAACCATAATTGGGGAGACCGACTTGAAAGAAGATGAAAGCAAACAAATAAAGCTAAACTATGCATTAATATCAACTAATGGACTTAACTAATGCAAATAAAGGCGCTTAAATATGAAATATTCAACGCCTATCACTGGTTCTCCATTCATACACTCATCTGGGAGCTTATCCATAAGTTTTGGAAGAACTTGCATTTTTCGCCTACCACCAGAACAAAGACCTGGCTTTTACCTTTTGGCCATTTGATCACATAGGTACTCATATCAGTTTAACCTTGAGGAGATTGCAGAGCTTAACGCTAACAGGGCAAAGACAGCTTATGATCTGGCCCAGTGGAACAAGACATTCAATTCATGCCGTAAGAACAGAGCCAATAGAGACTTCAAGAGACTTCAGAGGCAGCCGCAATAGGCGATGCTCCAGAGGATGATACAGCAGATAGATCTCCTCCCAGACAAAGACGTCACATTACTACTTCCAATTCTACCTCTTAGCCAAATGTACCTAGTGCATCTCAGCAGACTAACCCTTCACATGCTCTTTTTACTGAGCCGACAGCCCATGCCAGCACTAATTCTAGCTATAGATCAGAGGTAGATCAGTTGCATATAGATTTCATATCTTTTAGAGCTGATATGACTAGACGTCATGAGGATGTCGCGAGGAGGCATGATGACTTGGTGAGGAGACACGACGATCTGGTGGGGAAACATAATGATTTAGTTCGAAGATCCAATGCGCTACGAGATGAGGAAGCTGAGGTGAGACATGAGCTTGGAACTTTGAGAACCAACCTTACCACTTCGTTCACTCGCCACAACACTAAGATGTCTGCCATACTATAGCATATTGCTGACATGTTTACCCCTGATCCTACTGTCTAATGCCACCATTCTCTCTTTTTCCTGCTCATTACCTATCTTATATTTGCATTGCTATGACTGTGATATTTCTGCACTATTTAGATATTTGAACTAATTTATGGATTTCTGTTTTTGGATATTTTGGGATATTTTCTGGATATTTGATCTTGCACTTATTTTCTATATATGGATTTTTGGATCTTTGATGTTAGTTTTGGCTATCCTATGCTATATATTGCTATATGCTATGAGTTTTGCCCAGTTCTCAATATCACTTCTCATTTATATCATTGATGCATATGCTTTAACCATTGTTAGTGTGACCTATTTTCAGACAGGTGTCTGGAATCTAAGTTTGGGGGTGCGCCTTCCAAAGCTAAGCTTCCGTTGTCGGGTCCCTTTTGCTTCACCCATTTGGTATACTCTTTCCATTATCTATTACTTCTTTGTACATTGAGGACAATGCACAGATTAAGTTTGGGGGTGTATTAGCATATCTTACACGTCGCACTTGATTTCTATGCATGTGGTATGATTTGAGATAGATTTTTGGGTTATGATTTTGATTTTTTGAGGACCATGATACTTAGAATTTAAAAATTGCTTGACTTGAGAGTCCAATACTCCTTGTATGCCACCTAAAATAATTAATCCTATAAAGAAAATCAAATATAATACATATATGGTAATACGATAACATTTCGTGACAAAACCTTTAGACAACATATAATCTACCCAAGCAGGAAAAATAAATTACATTGATTGTCAAAAATTAAAAAATAACGGAACTTTAATCATAGAAGCTTTATCAAAGTAGTAAAGTATGATCCACTTCGAATATAGCCCAGCGATTTACTCGCTGGACTTTGGAGCTTAGCAAGCCCAAGGTCTAGGGTTCGAGTCCCGCTGGCTGTTCTTTGTGGCTAACATCCGCTGCCCCTGCAGTAACTTACCATGCTCAGGTGGGGAGGTGCCCTTCCGGGTCCTCGGGGATTAGTCGAGTTGTTGTGGAGCCCTAAGGGTTTGTGCCATCCCGGACACCCCGGGTTAATCAAAAAAAAATAATAATAAAGTAGTAGAGCATGTCTTCCATGGAAATAACCTGTAAACCTGCACAATGCTCAAACAAATCTACCTATGAAAGCTTAACCAAGAAATATAATCAACATATACCAATATGTCAATATCAATATTTCTCCCCCTCAATATAAGTAATTCTCCCCCTCAACATATACGCACACTTCTCCCCTTTTTTGTTACAAATTGACAAATAAAGCTTTAACAAATCGAATTCCGCCTGATAACTCATATATAGATTTACTATTTAATTAATAATTCATTAACAATCCAAATTTGATAATTCCTTTAAAATCATATATAAATTATGGTCGATGCAATCCGTTAACAATTCGATGTGAAGAAATTAATATAATATATAATATTGTACATATATTTTCTATCATTTAATTGGTAATGCAGTCGATGAAAAAATTAGTCAAAAATATTGTTTACATAGTGTCTTCATGTATGACATTGAAACTCATTATTATATCTTTTTTTTCATTTCTTAATTCTTTTCTTCCTCCTATTAGTTTTTTTCTCTTTTTATTGGTTTTTTCTTCAAATAATAATCAAATATATAATTTATTCTCCTTTTGTTCATATGTTACGGCCCTTCTTCTCCCTCTCTTACCTTTTTAAAAAAAAAATATTTTAAATAACAAAAATTAAACCTCTTAACAAATCGGATATTCAATAAATTACAAAATCGAATATGAATTCAATAAGAGATAATTCGTTATGTTATTGGACTGGATTGGATCAAGCTAGATCTTATTTGCATCCGATCAGTTAACAAATCTAGGTAATAGACCATTGTGGATGTTAAGAATGTAATTAGATACTCTCTTTTTTTTTCTTTTTTTCTTTTTTGTTAGGTATTTATTCACACCCCTCCCCCAAAAATACGTACTATGGAGCTCAAACTCCTCACCTCCCATTTTATAGAAGAGACATACAATAGAATTGAGTGGTCCTGCTAGGAATGACAAAGAGACTGGTACTTTCCCCACCTTGCACAGGCAGGATCTCAATGTCAAGTCTTTTTATTTATTTTTAATAGTTCAATAATACAATGCTAGAATTTGCAATTTTCTTGGTGATGAAGTTGAGCATATTTTATTATGTTCATTTTAGTGCCACCCCACTCCCCATTAAATATATATGCTATATCGTGCTACCAAGTAATGCACTAGCTTTATCAATATTTTACCTAAAACAAACAAGAATTAAATTATACAGGAATGATTGTACAATCTCCTTATAAAAAACCAATGCATTGAGCACCCAATAGGTCACCCCATCCCTTCAAGAATTCAGTAGCCCCAACACTCGATCTATCCATTCTCACACAGAAACACACACACAATTAAATTAATGGCTCTCTCCACTTCCTCACTTGCAATCTCTATGCTTCTCTTGTCAATAGTTGTGGTTGCTTCTGCAAATGGTTATGGCTATGCCCCAAAACCAAAGCTTGACAATCCTAAGCCAGAAGATAAGCTCCTCCCCACAATCATAGGCATTCAAGGGATGATTTACTGCAAATCAGGCCCTAAGCTCATCCCTCTTCAAGGTAATTTCTGCACCTATCATCATAAACTTATATCTCTTATAATTTGTATCTAAAGATTTCCTTATTTTGATTTACCCAAAAAAAAAAAAAAAAATGCTTATTTTAACCGTTGAAGGTTTAATATATATGTGTTTGTTGTGCTTAAATATATTAAATAATAGGGTAAATTTTATTTATCTCTCCTAAAATTTGTCAATAATTCACGAAGACCCCTCTAAGTTTTATCATCCTACTTATCTTCCCTAAAGTGCTGGCCGGTTTATGTAACAAATTCCTCCATGCTTGATCATTTTACCCTTCCAATGCCAGTAATGAAAACAAACATTTCTTAAGTAAAATAATATAAAAAAAAGTCACAAATAGGGGAGATAAGTGAAATAATGAAATACATGAGATAATATCACTTATTATTATTTGTTTCCAAAAATTTTTTATTTTTAACCAGAAATAATTTAATATGTAGTATATGCTTAAACATAAAAAAACGTACCACCAAATCACCAATAGTACATGTATAATACCCATTTAAACGTCGTACATAAAGGGCAGTCTCTGTTGTCACTATTATCAAAACAACACTGACAATTGTCGAAACAAATATGGTATTAGCCAGTATTCTAGTTAGTAAATCCTCCAACTGCATAAAATAAAAAAATTAAAATTAAAAAATTAAAAAAATAAAATAAAATAATATATACTTATAATATATACTTTGGAGTGTCAAATTTCGGCTCTCTCCATCTACTTATAATCTAACCTCTTACACTTCTAGGCTTGAAAGAAAAAAATACCTCTTACACTTCTTGTCTTGAAAGAAAAAAATAAATAAAAATTACAAAAAAGTAAATCATGCTAATGCTCTCAAGACATTCTTTTTCTTGTTGTTGTTAAAGGCGGACCTTTAAATAATTTTTCGAGTCCGTCCCTGCACCCCGTCACAACGGTGACTACATTTGCTAATTGATATACAATTTTTCATACTGTTTTAGGAGCTGTGGCAAGAGTAACATGTCTAACCGTCGATCAGGAAGGTTATGAACCGACTCCTATCACCATCTTGCGTTGCCCAACGGATGCAAAGGGTTACTTCTATGCTACATTGTCTTCATCCGAGCTTGAAAATGCATGGAAGCTCACAGAGTGCAAGGCATTCCTCGAGAAATCTGCATTGGAGACGTGCAATGTTCCAACTGATATCAACCAAGGGATCAGCGGCACTCTTCTTTCTTCTTCTCGTTTCCTCAGTGACAAGCATGTCCAATTGCATTCCGTTGGACCTTTTGTTTACACATCAGAATCAAAACCAATCTCCAAGGGTTATTAGAAAGAGAGATACACACACACACACACACACGTACACACGCACAAATGTAGTATCAAATGATCAGATCAAAAGTTAATTAATCTTTTTAATTGTTTCTATAGCAAAGAAGACGAGGGAAGGGAGTGTGTGTTTAATGTTTGCATTTGGAAATTTGTGTTAAGGTGTGTCCTGTTAATTAATAAGTTGAGAGCATATGCAAATATTGCTCTCTTGATATATTGTTTGTAATTCTTTGATCCTTATATTTGAAATTTTCTTGATCATATTAGTGCTTTCGAGATTATGTCATTTGAGTTTTATATACATAAATATGTTGGGTTTGTGGCTCAAAATTTGTATGTAGAAAATTAGTTTCCTTTTTCATTTTGGAAGGCTAAAATTTGTGGAGAAAATTGTATCCCATTATGTTTCTATTTTAGAGTTTTGATCATTAAGTTGAGGAATACTTGTCAACAAGAAATTGAGTTTGAATACTCTATAAATAAAGATGGATGTGAGGGGTTTAGAGTGAGAGGGAAGAGATAAAAGATGTAAGAGGTTTAAGGGTGAGTTGTAAGGAGAGAAGAGAGTATATGTAATTTCCTAGTGTATACATGTAGCCTCAAAAGAGATGATGAGTGAGTGAATGAAGTTTTGACATGTGGTTGTATATTCTCTTTCTTGATTCATAATAGTGAAATCTCTGTCTCTCATGGACGTAACCCTAGAATTGGATGAATCATGTAAAATATTGTATTGTGCGTGGATGTGTGTGATTGCTATCTCCATATATGCTTGTATTGATGTGATGTAATGATGATTTCGCTGTATGTGATGAAGGGGAATTTAACTCTCAACAATAGTCGACCATTGAGTTAATTGGAGAGAGTTAATTATCCCTAATAAAATAGAGTCTGAATGGTGTATTTTTTATATTGAAGAATATGTATAGTGGTGACAGTTTTTTTTTTTTTTTTTTTTTTTCTTTTTTTATAATATGATGAACTTATTGGCATGGTACATCGTGCTGTGTTGTGTTTGAATTTTGGCCTAATTGATTAAACAGCAGATAACATGAGCACCTAAATTGGAGGGTTTCTAATTGTTATGGGCATATATGCGTTGGCAGAAATTCAAGAGATAAGTCTTTGAGATTTTACTTTTCAATTGTCCTCTCAATTTAAATTGTACGTGTATTGTAGGGCCAAAACACATACTTTAAAAAAAATAAAAAATAAAAAAATTTATTGGAGGGTTTCTATATTCGTACACTTTAATTTGGAATCGCATTTATCTAATTTGTAAGATCTTAATCTAATAAACCTCTTTCAATTCATGTGGTTGAAGTGAGCCTATTAGTATCGTGTTGTTCGAGTAGTTGAGTTGTTCTCCATATTCGACTCTTGTACCTTCTCCTTCCCTCTAATAAATAATAAATAAATAAACAGTGAGCCCACTAAAATTATGTATCATAGAATTTGTAAGGAATATCATTTTTCCTGTTAACATGGGATGGTTTCTATATTAGTTGACCTTAATTTTGAATCACATTCATTCTTTGACAACTCGCCATAGAAGTCTCAACAGTGTTCCTCATCTTGGAATGGGGAATACCAGAATTATTCATTTTTGCTCTTGTGATATATATATATATATATAAACCAAACTAGAGGGGTTAATTTTTAGTCAACTCCTCATTGTTGAGTGGCTTTTGGTCATTTACTTTTACAACGAGGATTGACCTTTCCCTAAAAATCTCAATCTGAACTTAATCAATGTTGGATTTAAGTTGAGGTATTAGTAACCCAACCAAACTCAAATTCAAATTGGAACCCTAATTTTTTATATATATTTATAATTTTAAATATATCATATGTATTTCAAACGGTGATCAATCTTTTCTTTTCATCTTTTGTTTTTCTTTAAATCTTAATTAATTGTACATTAATTTTTTGGAGAATTAATATATTAGAATTTATTTATACTCCTTTAGATATTTATACTCATCAAATGTTGTACCTTAAAGATGGACATCTTAGATTCTGTAGAAGTTCACGACTCCTTTCACTATTAGCGCCTTCGGGGCCAACAAAATGTTGAATAATAGTGGTGATGAGGGTGTAAACCGCATCTGGAGCAGGTCCGGGTTGTTGGGTAGCTTCATCTTTAACTAACTTGGTGGCAGAAAAGATTTCAGCTTTCTGAATGTCAGTGAGAACATTATCCCACCATCCTTTAAGGATGCCTGTAAAACCAGCAACGACAAATTTAGCAATGGTTGGGTCAGTATTGTTGTTGATTTTACAAACTTGGCTATACATCAACATTTGATGAATAACCTCGTAAATCTGATAATCAGATTTCCCATCTATGTTCCATTCATAAATGGTCTTATCATGAAAAGATTTCTGTGTATGAAAATAATCTTCTTCATACAAGATATCTTGAGGTGTGGGTCTGGGATAATAATATCGACTCGGAGCAGGAGCTGTATTGGAGTGGATATTCTTATCATAGACAATTCTGTTTAACTCAGGTATCGGAGTAAAATCATTTTTGAAAACCTCAATATGAGATAACACATCATCAGAATCAGAACCTACTTCAGATTGATCATGGGATAAAGTCTGAATTTTTAGTCCTTGAATTTTCTGAGTAAGAAGAGTAAGAAATTCTTCATTCTTCTTAGGATGTGAAAGATTGAAGCCTGTAACTTCAATTGCAGGTTTGACCAATGCTTTGGATAGGGAAGCTGTAGGAGGAGAAGTCTTATCAGTAATACACTTAGTATTAATTGTATTTAATACTGTGTCTATTCCTGTTTCAATTCTCCCAAGCTGAGAGCCTATCGTTTGCAAACAAACACTCATATAATTGTTCTGCCTGTAAACATGAGAAATATCTTTCTTAGTAGCATTACAGGATGGATCAATTATTCGGGGTTGGCTATAAGCCTTGGTTTCCACTTGGACACCACTGTCAGGGTCAATCCTTTTCAGAATTAAATGTTCAGTGGGAGGATGGACAGAGTGGTAAACCTTATCTTCAGATTTAGTCCATGTTTTGAAAAAATCATCCAGTATGTTTATATTAACAAGAGAATGATTGGTCATAAAGAACCAAGAAACAAAAGGTATAACCATTTTGCGTTCTTGTAGAAAATCATAAAATTGAGTTTTAAAAAGCTGTAATTGATTTTGGTCAAAAGCTTTAAAATACCAATTTCTGAATTCTTTATATTGATCCTGTTGAAATTCAGTATTAATGGCAATTCTATCTGGGACAAAATCCATTAAAACTAATATTCATGAGGGTCATTGATGTCTGTAGGATCATCAAATTGATCCTTGACAGATTCATTTCCGATTCCCATTTCAGATGGAGTTGGGCTGAATTCAATTCCAAATTGGCGACGAGACATACCTATTGGTGCTTTCTCGTAGACTCCTCTTGGAATTTGATTCTGAGATTGTTGTATTCCTTTCAGCTTGAGTTGATTTGAACCAACGACTTCAGGGAGATCTTCCTTTCTGTAATTCGACAAAACTGAATGGCGAGAAGGAGGACAAGAAACATGATAAGGAAGATGACTTCCTTTAGATGATGTAGATCTAGGTAGATCTATTGATTTTCTGAAATTCAGAAAAACATCACCATCTTGATTCTGAATAACACAGTCCAAGCTATAATTAGCAATTGGCTTTGCCGGAACTGCATTAGAAATCGTCCAATGTTCAGGAAAAGTTATTTCACTCCAAGGAATCATCCTTTTTGTGGCAACATTGGATGTGTACATATTGGTGTCCCATAACGCTGTCACTCCTTTAGAGTCTTTGCGTATGGCATTCGGACACATAGTACCAAGTACTTTGTAATGGATGCGATAAATAACACTTATCACTTCCGATCCAGGTAAATAATCATACCCATAGGTCTGAACACGAAGACTGACGGCCTCATGGATATTTTTATCTGTTAAAGATAAATTCAGACTAGGATATACATTAAAATAAACCGGTCCATGACATAGACTGGTTTCCAGTGCACCCATTAAGGAAGGGTGAAATTTCAGATATCGAGCATCCCGAAGGGTTGCTTGAATACAAGCATCCATACCTAACAAGGTTAAAGGTTTAAAAGCAATCTGAATTAAACCTATATGGATGTACTTATATTTGTGCATGTGCCTCTGAAGGTCACGGGAAGACAATAACTTAATTATTGTATCCTTAGTGCTTAATTGCATGGTCTGTTCCATGGTCTTGACAGTCCATAGATCAGTTAAATTAAGCATTCCGATTTTGTAAATGCTCTTTGCACTTACTGGAGGGATAGTCCATCTGTTCAATTTATTTTGAACATTGGTCCATTCCACTAATTTAGTATTTTTTACCAGTTCTGAATCCTGATTTTCCTGTACTCCTGAAGAGGAGGAAGAAGATGGTTTTAACATATCTATTAATTATTGTTAATGCTTTAAGGTCTGCATAGTATAAATATTATAATATTATATAATGAACAGTAAGTTACTATTCTGTCGTCTCTCTGCTTAAAAGAGATTCTATTACTCGTCTGTCAACGATTTACTGGAAACAACACCATGTGCAGCAATTTAATGCAAAAAGTGGGCTAAATATTCCAACGCGACTTTTGGACGACCCATAATTGAATCTGGGATAAACATAATTAGACAAAATAATAGTCATATTGTTCATTACATAATTACGATAATAATCATGCTACCAGGACCTAAGAAGCATTAACAATAAAAGTTTAAGCCAGCATGGCTCTGATACCAAAATACAAGGATCGATATAATATAATCAAATATACAAGGATCGATATAATAGAATAGACAAGACAAGAATATGAAATTTAAACAGATTTACAGAAAACTTTCTTATTGAACTTCCAAGCTAGTACATAGAAATATTACAAAAGGAAGAAAAGGAAATTGAAAGATACATTGAAGGGAACTTTGCCCTCTATTTATACATAAAATGGACTTAAAATTAACATTT